TATATATATATAAGAAAACCAATAATTTTCAAACTATTAAATATATTGAAAAATTTCAACTAATTAAGATATATATTAAAATTAATAATAAGGTAGATAATCACAATATTGGAAATATATTCAAATATCTCTCCATCAAAAATATAGAGGTGTACATTGAATATATATTTAGTGTGTGATTGGCAACAATAGAGTAACTAGGAATAATAAATGTGGTGTAATGAGAGAAAAAAATTGTGGAGTAAAAAGCCTCAGATGCTCTTAATGAGGCAAAAAGTAATCTAACATACTCTCACAAAATCTGGAGTACTCTTATTTATTCTGATACTCTCAAGAGTGCTGGTTAATGTCGAAAATACCCATGACCGATTTAATGAATAATTCGAAATAATTCTGGAATATCTCTCTCCAAATTATTCTAAATTGATCGATATTCATCGAGTCGTCGTCGAGGAGTTCTTCTTCTCGAGTATTAGTCGAGTCCAGTCTTCTCAGAACATTCCCTTGTTCTTCCTTGCATGTTATTGCGATCTCGTCGCTTGGATGCAATCATTGAGCTTTTGATTCTGTGTAACAGGGTATGTATCTCAAATCGTCCCAGGGATTTCGATTAGATAGAAAATTTCGTATTTGTGTATGAACTAATCGAGGAAGATCGGAAAGTTTGAATGGTCTACTTATTAAGGAATTTGATAATCAACAACCGTATAAATGAATGTTGGGAATCAAAGCTGTTTAAAATTTGGTTTTGAATTGAGAAGACTCGAGTCATTGTAACTGGAAATTTCTTATTCACTAATCGAAGATCAAAAAGGAATGAAAGTGTGGATGGTCTGTTTATTACTCAATTGGATAATCAACAAATAATCAACAACTGTATGATTGAATGCTAGGAATTAAAGGACGATTCAATCAAAGAAGATTAGACGTTGGCCGATTACTAATTGCCTACTGACACAACTGTGTAACATGGTGTAACGAAGTATAACTTTGATGGTATAATTGTATAACCAAGTATAACTTTAGGGGTTTATTTTTTTTTAATATTGCAGACAATGAGTCCTTTTTCGGTGAACATACACTTTGATTGTGATGGACATTATTCGAAGGATGGAGATGATTATTAATGGATTCCAACCGATGGTCGTTTGTATGCTATATCCTTTAAGACATCATCGTTGGAGGAGATCACTTATTCAATGTTCAAGGAGAAGATATGCATGAAGATAGAAATAGATCCGTTTATGTTGAGGCTCAGTTTGGGTTACATCCCATTGGTAGTGGAACCTAAGAGGCAATCATATATTTTGGATGATGAAGATGTGTTTGTTTATCTAACATCAGTGGATAGAGAGCAAAGAAGAAGTATTTGGCATCTGGAGGACATCGAAGAATTGCAAATAGTTCAAATAACCGAGCAACTATCAAGAGTCGTAGAGAGATCTTGTAGTAAGAACTATCGTGAGCGTGGGAGTGGATATGGAGAAGAAGAGAATGTGGGCACTGGTTTGGAACACGATGAACATCCCCACAAGAAACATAAGAAGAGTAGGTTGTAAGCCTTTCGGTTGCAGTTTTGTTTTGGTGTTTTTATCTTATGGGAACGTTGTGAGGGAATCAATTTGTATTTGTGTGTTGTATAACTAAGTGAAACTTGGTTTCTTTACTGGTATAACTACAATGGAAAAACTGAGTAATAAGTCACTGAAATACTAAGATGGTTATTTATTGTTAATGTTATGTTAATTATGGTTAATATGAAATATTAAAATTCCATCTTATTGTTTGGTCATATAGGTAATAATTTGTATTTGTGTATTGTATAACTAAGTGAAACTTGTTGTTTTCGTTATTGGTATAACTACGATGGGAAAACTGAGTAATATGATTGTAAACTCTCAACTTCTTAATTTAATAAGTCACTGAAGTAATGATATGGTTATTTATTATTAATGTTACATTAATTATGATTTGATTAGAAATATTAAAATTACATCAAATTTCTTGGTCATATAGGAAATACACTGTGTTATCGTAGCCGTTTGGCAAAAACTGACCTCGTTAGATTTGAAAACTTCGTATGGCACGAAATCAAGTTTATGTGTATTTGATCGTCTGAGAAATGAATCTGGGAAACATAATTTAATTGGTGTAACCAAAAAATCAGTGATTCAAGTAGAGTATAACCAAGATAAATGGAAATAATTAAAAAGTGCAACTTTGATGTTTTTCGTAAAACTGAAAACTTGGTGAAACTTACTACGAAAATCGCTGGGATAAATTTTCCCGCCCAGCTTTTCGAATTTTGAATTGCCCTCTTCCCAATTTGCTAAAACCACAAGATCGTTTAATCGAAGTATTAAAGACATTTTTTGGGTTTTTCTCCATTTGTTATCTTCCATTTTCTCTCTCTCAAATCTTTCTCTCTCTCTCTCTCTCTCTCTCTCATTCCTCTCCTCGAACTAAAAGAGAAATCGAGATGTCCACCGCTTCATCTTCCACGACCGGTGGTCGGACACGAGTACGACCTCCGGAAATACCTATTGAGTGCTGGTGCGGGGTGGGAATCACCGAGCTCATCTCGAAAAGCAAACCAAACCCGTTTTGCCGGTATTATCGGTGTCTCTATGCGGCTTCACTAAGGGTATTATCCGTTTACCTTTTACTTACTCACGAAAGCTTACGAATTACGCTTACGAATTATGCTTACTTGTTTTGAAAATATCCATGTCGTAGCTTGAGAACAATAATCACGTTTTCAAATGGGTTGATGAAGCTTTCACCGATGAGATACAACATTTGAATTGCCAAGTTCGAATGCTCGAAGAAGAAGTTAAACTTCTCAAAGCAACAATAAGGAGTGAAGGTCTGATGACGAGTTCCAAGATATTTGGAGGTTGTGTTCTTCTTACAGTCGTTTTAGTTCTAGGAATTATGATGTACAATAAGTAATTCCTGGAAAACTTTTCTGTTATTGTTATGTTTTTTCTAAGTTAGACAACAATGTAACACCAACGAAATTCAACTTTGTCTTAAGTTTAGAAAGTTGAACAATTGATTAAGTGAAACTATAAAGTTGGAAAATAGAGAGATCGAAAATAGAACAATAGAGATAGTTTCACCAACATTAACACATTTAATCAAAGTTGAATCTGACATTAAACATTTACGGGAGACCTTCAACCCCAGATTTCTGAGCATAAGGGTCGCTGTTTAGTAGAGACTGCCTGAATTCCTCAACCTCGGGCAAACGCGGATTGAACCTGAAGTCCGCAAATCCACCTTCGGTCTCAAGCCATATTTCAGGAGGACCAAAATAACATGTATAAGTGATTTTAGTAAAAGTTCTACTCAACTATCACATTTAAAACTAGTCACAGAAACAACACTTACGCATAAATTTCCAGACTCTCCACATCTTAAGGGCCACAATCACCTGTCTACGACCCCCACCACTCATGTAATCAAGACCATCCCGGAAGGCATAGTCCTGATCGCCGGTCACCACACATTTTATCTGATGGTCACTATTCAGAATAAAGAAAAAGTGGGTCAGTTACAATATATATATATATATATATATATATATATATAAATTTTGCTTGGATCATATGTTATTTTATACTCACATGTTGTCCCTTATGTAAAACTCCATACTTGGTCCTGAAGGGGTATCGAGATAGGCTTCCGTGTTGAAGACCACTCCCATTGTATCTACCATATAAGTGTTACTTAACTAAATCAGTTCGTTTCACTTAGTTTCACTTACATCTACAAAGTTATACAAAGTTCTGAAACCAAGATATGCGTCTGTTGAGATTACCAACATACCTATGGGATATCTGAGGTCACGCCAGTGCATGTGAGGGATTTCATGGATGCTTTTGAAGTCCAAGAAAAGACGACGGTTCAGAGGTTCGATGATGCGAACTTGCTTACAGCGCGAAGAATTTAGTCTGAACGGAGAGCTAGTTGGCTTGAAACATGGGTAGGTCCGTTCAACTTATACCATAAAGATTTCCACCCGTCTTCCCTCTTCCTTCTCAAGGCCTCTAAAATTTGGATAATCCCCATCAGTGGTAATCTCCATCCTGTATCCCTACATAAATAAAGTACAAAGATCATGTTTATTACATGTTACAAGGATCAAGTTTTTATTTCTCACGGTTACATGTTTATTACACACTTGAGAGATGATGATATAACACTTACATCTTCATCTGCGAGGATATACTTATAGTAAGTCCCATGGTTGGTAATCGCGTAAGGGTAGATCCTGTGTAGTTTCACTCTAAAACGCCAAGACCTGATCTTGGGGTTAAAAGTAACCTTGGAAAGCTTATTGTACTCTGCCATCTTCTTTGTTGAGAGATGAGAGAAGAGATGGAGTATTCGCAGAGATGAGAGAAGATATGAGAGAGGAGATGGAGTAACGGTGAGTGTTTAAATGCAGAATTCTTATAAATGCAAGAGATGTGGCGTATAAAAGAGACTTTTTCACAAGAGAAGTCGTGTTCTTTCGACGAGGCTTTTTCTCAAAATTACTATTATCCTTTTCATTTATTATCTCCTACACTCCTAGTTGCTATCATTAAATATATGAACTCTAAATATATTCACTAACTATTATCCATTTTGGAAACTGACCATCTTTTGAAAAATAAAACGATATAATATCAAAAATTTCGTTAAGTTTTGTATAGTTTCAAATTTTCATACAATCTAAATTGTTAAGTTTTTCTTAGTTTCATAAATCTAGCCCGTGATCTCCCCGAGTTTCACTTATGTTTACATATTTATATATCTTAAATTTCAGGAGAGCCGATTGTTGCAGTCAGAAAGCATGTGAGATAAGTTGGAGTAGTTATGCTTTCTCGGGGTTCAAAGTGGAGTTTAAATACAATGGTTATGATGATCTACTACTTAATGACGGTGTATTGTTGTGGCATTTAAATGCAAGTGTAATGATTATAAGAGAGACTTCGAAACTAGACATTTTCATGAGAGAAGTCGTGTTCTTTCGAGTAGTCCATCAAATCACCCAACTCCATAATTACAGGTTTTTCTTTAACCTTAATATTACAATTTTCATTTAATATATCCTATACCTACGTTTTACATAGTTTCAAAAAATTTATGCAATCTAAATTTTGAATTTTTTCTTAGTTTCATAACAATCTAACTCACTTACTTTCACTTACTTATATAGTTATATATCTTAGTTTCACTTACTTTATATATAGTTATATATCTTATACAAAGTTACAGTTCCAAGAGATGCGAGTGTAGATATTCAGAAGGCGTGTGAGAGAAGTTGTGTTTGAGAGGAGTCCATCAAATCAAACTTAAATGGACACGCTACTTTTGATTAGGGTGAGTGGTTCATTAAATTTTAAGGGTTTATCACTTCTACAAACTTGTGATTTCTCTCACCATTAACCGTTTTCTTTTATCAGAGTTAGACATGGAGAACGTGAACTTGACTTATCTCCCTCCTTCAATGCTTCATAAGATTCTCTCTAAAGTAGTAAAGACCGGTATCCGGAACTTTGGTTCTGCAAGGATTGCTTTTCCCGGGTTCATTTAAGTTGGAAGAGATGATCACTTCTATAGATCGGCCAATCTCATTTACTTCAATGACTGGGCAAACGAGGTCAATGATGTTCGAGCTTTCAAGATTAAATGCTACCGTTTGGGTAATCCTAAGGACATCTACCTGAGAGGTATGTACGAGTTCTTCTTCCTCCATTTACTTGATGAAGGAAGGGAAAAAAATACATCGTGCTGGTGAGAGAGGGTGCGTGTTGGCACAATTTGTAGATGCTATGCTGAACTTAGCCTTTAGTGTTGATGATAGAAGAATTGTTCACAACTACCCTGCTTTTACTCGTCAACATGTTGACGAGATGTTTCAAATCATCACTAGTTGGGATATCTCAGGCAATTGGGATTACGAAAAACCTCTCATGTTTATATATGTGGCTGAAAGGATGGATCTTAATGTGCCACATTATTGCTGGTGCTCCAACCTAGACCCTCCAATGTCTGTAGTCTCCCTAGATGGATCAAGATCACAGTGGAAATGCGATCTTTGTTTCTGGAATTGTGCAGCTTGGGACTTCTGCTATGCCATACACTCGACTGCTCGTGCCTGGCCCATTGAAGATTACTTGGGTGTTTATGACATAGAAGTTTTATCTAGTTTTACTAAGTTGTGATGTAAATTACTCATCACAATATTCTCTGCTATTTCTCTAGTTATAGATATAAACATAATGTACTTTCTCTAGTTATATTTATAAACTAATATTTTTTTATTTGAATTTCAATGAATATATCAATAACAACAACTGTGCCTAAACAGTAACGTGATAAAAAATTGTAATCTTAAAGTACGACTTAGTTCAATTTAGAATACCTTCAATTTATTAGTTTAAGTTTTATTACGCTGCACAGTTACACCAAGGTTTACAATTACACCAATTCTTACAAAGGTTTCGGAAAAAATATCCGAATTTTATGGATCGGGTTTGGATAGTCTGCGAAATTTCTCTGGTTGGGTTGTATTTATGCAAGTTTCTGTTGGGCTTGTGGTGTTTTAATTTTTTTTCTGATTTAAATAAAGATATATTTAATTACAAATCCGGTCAGTTTCGGGCAGGAGTATCTCAGCTCTTTTTTTTCGGGCAGGAGTATATCAGCGTTTGACTCAAAGTCAGCGCAACAAATATTTTTCCAAAAACCACACAAATGTAAAGTGTTTATACCTTAGAGAAAATAGTAGCAAAGTAAAATAATTTTTAAAAATCAAAACATTTTTTCACTTGATTGGTTACTTTAGCAGCTGAATTGAAAGGAAAAAAATTCTTGCTGGAATATTCAGGCTTTGATTGGTAGTTAATAGAGTAAAAGTGTGAGAAAGAAATGGTTGAAAAGAAAGAAAACAAAGATGGGACTAGTGTAAATGTTTTTTTTAGTTAAAGTAGAGTAATAATTTACACTATTCTTACTCTAATTTGGAGTAAATGAGTTGAAACCATATTTTACCTGATTGGAGGAAAGTAGAGTAATTTAAATGAATTTGTTTTTTTTTACTCCATGTTTTTGTTTTAATCGCTAGACATGCAATACGATCACACTCTCACTTTATTTGTTATTTATAGACATAGCTAATGAATCAACATATAATATCTAAGAGCAATCATGTCATGTCAATTATTACGTTTGTATCAAAGATTTCCGGTGACTCGCAAGCAGAGCCGACCTTTGGGCCAAACAAATGAAATATGAGCTTCTGGATGACAAATTTATCAATAAATTTTGGCTCCAATTTTCAGAATTGTTATTTTAGTCTAATGGTATAATCTTGTGTACATGGTATTCGAAAAGATAAACCCGGGTTTAAGCCTTCTCTGGCGGCCACTTTTTTTTTAATTTTTACTTCTAACCATGTAATTCTTAGGAACGGTTTTTCTTACAAGTACTCAGGATTGCCAATTGATTTGAATGGAAAAAGAAGAAATTTTTTTAAACTTATATTAATGGGAAGATGAATATATGATACCCAAATTTAACCAAATGGTAATAGTGTAAACGTAATCTCCTAGGATTCAATATGTATCCACGTTGATGATTTGTTCGATTTCCTATGAGAGTTAAATTATTAGTACTTGACTAGTGTGGATTTGGACTTCATTCGAGGTGGTTAATTGGTCGTAACAGACACCTCTTTGCATTAGTCGTAAAGTATTTCAAATTTGTGTCATGTATGGTGGTAACCCATCTATTTTATAGAGTTAAGTGTATTCTTCTTGTCATTGACCAGATCAGTTGGCTGAAATAGTCGATATGATATATCATAAAAATGATATTCAAATTTTGAGAATTTAAAAGTTTTTATGTTGTTTTCCAAACACAAAATAACTTTAAATTAATTTATTGATTTAATTTTGTGCAATCTATTAAGTTTAGCAGCGAATTGGATTTAGACAAATTATTAGTTTGTGGATCTTACAAAGGAAACAAATCAGTCTAAAGTCATTTTGTCTCTAATGTTAAAAAGTTGCTGTGGTTGTGAACCGCTATGCCAAGTCCAGCAAGTTGAACACTTCTAGAGTGCGGAAAGTCCTAATTATGATGCTCCACAAATACAGTAATCTACATTATATAGTTTGTCTAATTATAACATTAATTCATTTGTTGTTTTTGGTAAAAGGCCAACCGAAACAACATGTTCAATTACTTCTCGAGTTCTCGTCAACCATATTATATTTCTTTCACATGCACTCTAACTGTAGGTTACTATTTTATTCTTATTTTTCGCCTTGCTAGACGACAGACTACGATTTTAGTATAAGGAGAAAATCTTATAGGATTTTAGTATAAGGAGAAAATCGTATTCCTTCCATTTCAGAAAGACCTATGTTAAAAACAAATTTCAAAAAGATATTTTTTAAATATTTTTAGTATATTTATTAAAGATATATTGTAAATTTAAAAAATGTAATTATATTTATTAAAATTATATTGGTTAAAAGTTATAGAAAATAGTTAACTCACTAAAAATAATATATTGATAACTAAAATTTGATATATTTTTAATAAGTGTAAAAATGTTACAATATAAAATATTTTGAAACATAAGAAATATTAATTTACCATTTTTCTTATATCATTATGATAGAGGGCATTGGCAAGATTAAAAATACCCTTGAACTTATTCCACATTTATACTTAAAAATTGTTCAACTAACTATTGATCACTACGCGCCTAAGATAGATTATTGCTTTATATAAATTATGCAACATTTTAAAAAGTCTGATTGTCTCAATTTTGACCCGGTCGATTGTTTTTTTTTTGGGAAATTTGTCAAAAGAGGACTAAAAAACACAACTATTGTCCCATTAGAATAAATTTCATGATTCATGTCCCCTAAGAATAAACTATAATGAAAATCCAATTTAGTCCTTAGTATTTAAATTTTTAAAATTTTCAGAAAGCCGATATATATTTATAGTATGAGAGAATTAACAATGAATGACAATGACTCTGCTGGTAAACTACCTCAAGTTACTCCCTCTAAACCTGGGTTCGAGCCTCCGGGTATGCAAGTACTTTTTTTTTTAATTTGAAGCTCTGGATATTGATTACCAGTTTACAAAAACTATTCAAGGTTTTTATAGGGATTTTGTACGAAAATTGACAAGGCAAATCATAGGGTTCATCAATCGTTGACAGTGTAACTTGAATCAGAGAGCAATACAATATCATTTAGGTTTGAAACAGTGACAAAAAACCATACCCTAAACTCCTATCTCTTATTTGAATCNGAAGCTCTGGATATTGATTACCAGTTTACAAAAACTATTCAAGGTTTTTATAGGGATTTTGTACGAAAATTGACAAGGCAAATCATAGGGTTCATCAATCGTTGACAGTGTAACTTGAATCAGAGAGCAATACAATATCATTTAGGTTTGAAACAGTGACAAAAAACCATACCCTAAACTCCTATCTCTTATTTGAATCTTTGTACTTTGTTAGAAAGAAATACTATTTTATAATTTTGCAGATTTTAAAGTTAATAAAATAATAAAATGTAAATTTTATATAGTAATCATCTTTTAAAAGAACAAAAATTATGTTACAAAAATCTTGGTAAATCCATACCCTAAACAATAATGAAACCCTAAACCCTGCCTGAGTAAAGAAAAATTAAAAAATGTTGTTACTCCTGGGATTCGAACCCATTACCAAATGGAACTTTATCCATATTGTATTCCACTGACCTAAAGCGAACCGTTGCTTTGTGTGGATGAAAACAATATTTATTCTTCCCCTCCTCTATCCTAATTTGAGAGTTACTTATGTATATCATCTACCTTAATTTGGACACTTTTTCTCATCGTCTTTCTTTCTTCTTTGACAAATATGGCGAACATGAACAACATTGAAGGAATCCCTCGCAGATGCTGGTGTGGGAGGGGGATTGTCACTTACGTTTCAAAAACAGATGAGAATCCATACCGATGGTTCTTCAGATGTGAGATTGCTTTACAGGTAAATGTCATATACAAATACTTATCAATTCTTCTGTGTTGAGACTTAATTTGTTTTCTGTTCCGAATCAGAGAAAAAAAGAGCAACATCTTTTGAAGTGGGTGGATGAGGCTCTAAATGAAGAGATTCAAAAGATGGATGACCATCAAGCGTTCATGGCAGAAGAAATTGAAGATCTGCGTGTTTCGTTGAAGATGGTGGAAGAAGAAGTTATGAAGCATAAAGCCTCTCGAGATGTTGGTTGTGTAGGATGCATTCTCAGTATTTTATGTCTCTGTTCCAAATTTGATTGATATTTTGTAATGTTTTTCTATTTCTATCTACATTGAATAAAAACAAGTAATGGATTTCTAGTGTTATTGACATGTTTCAAAGACATCTAAATTCAATATAAATCAAAAACACTGTTAAAATCAACATGTAACGGATCATGAATATGAAAGATAANGGATGCATTCTCAGTATTTTATGTCTCTGTTCCAAATTTGATTGATATTTTGTAATGTTTTTCTATTTCTATCTACATTGAATAAAAACAAGTAATGGATTTCTAGTGTTATTGACATGTTTCAAAGACATCTAAATTCAATATAAATCAAAAACACTGTTAAAATCAACATGTAACGGATCATGAATATGAAAGATAAATTGCAGAAAAACAAAAAACAGAGGTTTATGCATAAAAAGCATTCACAAAACAGAGGTTTAAATGAAAGAAGAAGACCCACGTTCAAGGCAAACTATATTAAACAGGAAATAAAAATATTTAGAGAATATTTACTTTCAGATTTTGCTAGATTTTCGGATGGTGGCTCATAAACCGTTGGTAGAAGATATATTCTACCAAATTTTCCATTAGTTTAACCAGTGGAAACGTAATCCCACGAGTGTAGACAAAACATTAAAACTAAGAAGATATGTTCTGCCAAGGTAGACGGATGGGTCTTTATTATATGCTATGTTCTACTGAAACTGCATAACAAAGAAGGAATGTCAGTTATCATATTCTTCATTCGTAGATGTATATGTTTTTGGTGTATTACGCATTCTAAGCCCTTTAGATGGATTAATTGTTAGTAGATTGTACATTCTGAACCGCCGTAGATGGTAGATCTGATTTACTACCCGATTTATCCAATTTTTGAGATTACTATTCCA